AAAAATTGAAGAACAAATTTAGAGTTCTTGAGAGCTGAAGAACAGAATTTAAGTTCTCTATTTGGGATAAATGAAGAACAAAATTCCCGTTGACTTTTCAGTTCTTTGAAAAACTGAAGAACACAGTATTTTAACAATGTAAGTTCGCAGCATCCTGTCATTTCCTGAGTCATTCTTGAACAGCTCGCTGATAAGGATATTTAGCTCTGAATCAATGAGGAAGCAAAAGAGAAGAAAAAGCTTTTTGTAAGGAATTTTCCAAGCTGATTGAAACTCTAACTCAGTCGATACTTGTGTTAAAAGAAATTCTATGTCATCTTTAACTTTGTCTTCCCACCTCTTTCTTATGCCAGCGTTTCGAGGGCGTTTCTCTTGTGGAAAGTATGAAAATGTCATTTTCTGCACAACTGATGGTTCGTTATTTCTGTTCATCATTCTGTTGGCATGCCCAAATCACCAAAGTCTGTTTCTACGTAAGATACTGTCAATTGGTGACTGTCCCGTGATTTCTAAGATCTTTTCATTTGGCATTCTATCGCCTAAATTCACACCGATGACTGTTCGCAGGCATTTCATATAAAAGGTGTTTATTCTACGTTAAATGTGCACTTGTGATAGACCACGTTTCACTTCCATACAATAAGACACGGAGAACACAGGCATGAAACACTTTTAGTCTCGACTTGATTGAAATGCTTTTCCTGCTCCAAATCACATGTCTTAACATACTGAATGCCGTTGCAGCTTTACTCAGTCTTGTACTGATTTCACTATCTGATCTTTGGTCTCTTATTACGCTACATCCTAGGTAGATGAACGAGTCAACAGTTTTGATCTTCTGATTCTGAATTGTGATGTCAAATCCAGGGAAGACTACTTCTCTGTCTTTTAACAGCTTTCTGTTATGATCTTCTTCGAACTGTTGTAAGGTCATAATACATGTTTTCCTGACACTCATTGTCAGCCTAAATTCTTAACTAACCTTTTCAAAAGTTCGTATGAAAATCTCAAGATTGTCAGCTGTTTCACACATTGCCACTAGATCATCAGCATAGAGTAAAGCCAAAATATTGAAATTCTCATAATTTTCAAGTGCACCATGATAAAAATCATTACTTCCATACGAAAACTGAACACCATCCACACCGGCTTCTTCTGCTACTTTTCTGATAATAAGTCAAATAGGATATTGAATAGGATAGGAGATGGAATTTCAATTCAAAAGGTTAACAATTTTCTGTGACATACCATACTTTAAACAGACTTTCCACAGCAATTCTCGATTGACAGAATCATATGCTTTTGTGATATCAATAAAACACATAAACAATAGTTTATTGAGCTCTCTTCTCTTCTCCATCGTAGTTTTTAATGTGAATACGGTTCAAAATTAAACGAGAAAATATTTTGCTTGTTACGTTTAGCAACGAAATACCTCTGTAATTGTCACATAGTTGTTTTTCACCTTTCTTATACAGTCGAATAAGAAGGGCCAAGCTTCAGTCTTCCACCATTTCCTCATTCTTCCACACATCAGTGAAAATCTCAAACAGCCAGCGAATAACTGGCTCATCCCCAGCTTTGAGAATATCCGCTGTAACTTCATCACTGCCAGGAGCTTTCCTTGATTTCATTTGCTTTACTGCTCTTCTAACTTCTTCTACAGTTGGATTAGCATTTTGTCTCTCTACCTCTTCTTTAGTCAATGTCTTTACTTGAATTTCATCAATCAATTATTGGTCTACCGTTGATGGTACATTGAGTAATTCACTCATTGATACTTTGCTCATGGTAACTTGTACAAATTTCGGACCTTCAGAAAGAAGTCATTTCTTATCATCTCTGAGTTTGTACAGCCAGCCCTCTTGATAATTTGCAGTGCACGCACCGATTGTGTACATAATAGTACTCAATGATTCCAGTTCTTAAGATTGAAAGACGCAAACTTTGACAAAATTGTAACATAAATTGAAAAACCCCAAATCCAACTTTAATCAACAGATTGACGGATTTTGTTTCTACCCAATGATCGTGTTAATGATAAATAGATTCACGGAGGACTTCTGAATTTTATCGCTATAATAAATTAGTAGGACCGTTCAAATGGAATATAGATTTCAAGGTATCTGCAAAGAGTCCATCGGTAATTTACAGACTAAAATCTATTGTAATTGTAATACGAAAGTCGAGAGATGATTAAATAAATGATTGAGACCAAAGACGGTGAAAATTTTGACAATAAATAAGCAAAGCTGACCAAGTAAAAAATCAAATTGTATAGATGAGCTATATTTTGGCAAAAAAACTATTGTCATCCTGATCTTAACTAGAAAAATGAAACTTATTGTGACATTGAACAAATATCGCATTATAGTTATATACTGTCTATACAGCCATAAAAAATATGTTTTAATAAATAAATCAAGATAAACAACGGAAATATGACAATACTCTTTCTATTGTAGTAAATTTCAATAAATATTTATCGTGATAAAATACACCATTCTTGCGGTAAACTTTCTATGGCGATGAAACAGTGGCTGATCAAAATTCAAAAGGATATTCTAATATAAAATTGGTTAATCGAAAAAAAAATCAGCTCATGGATATCATTTAGATTTAGAGTTTCGTCACTTCTCTCTTGTTTTTTTTATCCAAAAAACGCAGCTGTGTCAACGTGAGCGTAAAATAGATTGGGATACAGCATTTAAGATAGATGTGGTGTATCTAAGGAAATTGAAAGTTTCATTATTGTTTATTTGTCATTCTAGATTAAGTTAAACATAAAACTTATAATGATCTAAGCCACTGACGATAGACATAAAACTAGTGTAAAGCTTTTGAAGCATAAATAGAAAAAAAGAAAAAAAAAGAAAGAACTAAAAATAAATTTCATTTACGCGTCGTGTCTTTAAGAGGACAAATATAGTGGATAAAATAGAATAACCAGAATGTATCAGTCCTCTTTTTTTTTTTTTAAGAAAAAAATGAAGAGAATAAGTAGTGAAGATAGATTTGTTTAGAACCAACCATGTTCACCGGTTGTAATTTTTTTTCTTCTCTTTACTATAGAAAGAGCAAATTTGTTTTATGAAATAATGACAAGACTTGTAATCTAATTTATCAGAGCATTTCTGAACTTGTTAATTTATTCGACGAAGACGAAGAATTTCTGTTACTTTTTCTGTTCTGTGTTGATATGCATCATCGATCGTTGTCAGTTGCTGAGATTCAGTAACAGTATTCCTGAAAGAAATAGAATTACATTGAGTTCTTCTGAGGATATTCATAATTATTGGCTTAGAGAAGTTTTTCAACTGATCATATCAGGATTAAAAGATTAGATTCTGTATAATGTCCTAAATTCAATTTTACAATGATTATTTTGCTAAAGAAATATAACACCTTTTCTCTTTTTACATAAGATTTCCGGTAGCAATTGAGCTGTAAAGTGCGATAATAAAATGATCTTTTAATTTCATAAGATTACAAGAGAGTAGATTACAACAATGATATGACTTTACATCGTTTCTTAAGATCATGTAGCTTTATCTGATGTGAGATCTTTTCTAGAATCAGTTATAGTTAATTATTTTCTATAATGTGAATAGAAGATGTGAACCAATCTTGTGCCATATGACGCTTTAGAGAACTAAAATGTAGCTAATATTAATCAATATACTGTGTATACTATTCTATGTTAGTATTTGATTGTCTAATTAAAGCCATTGTGATGAATGATTATTTTTTAAAATAAAAGCGCGTTCTACAAAATTTAACTGTTTGTATTGTTCAACATTGACAACAACTAATTTATATATTCTATGAAACCAAATTTTCTTCAATAAAAAATGCATAATCTTTTTTTTTTTACAGTTCTAAACGTTCTGTTCTGACTCTATGGAATTAGATTTTGCTTATCAAGTATAAGTAAAAACAAATATTAACGATTTTTATTTGATTTTTTGTTTGTTTTGTTTGTTTTTATGAAGAAAAATCAAAAAAAAGTAATTTTTATTTCTTTCGAAAGTTAAATAAACACTTCACTTTTTAGTTAACAAACGATACATCTAAGAAGGAATTGTGAATAAAAGTGCATTTGTGCATGTTTGTGTCTACGTATTAGCATAGCTTGTGCAAATTTGTATTATAGGTGAATGGAAAATAAAAATACATGAGAAGAATATCATCAAAGAAGAAGAATAACAAACAAACATCATCATTAGTACATTGATTATGAAATACAGCAATATTATTATTATTTAGCATTTGACAATAGTAGAAATCAAATTTTACAAACAAAAATAGTTCAGTTATATTCACACATAAAAAAACTGCGAATATTTAAAAACTATAGTTCAATGTGAAAATAGCTCATATTCATACAAGTGATATAAAATAAGCATTAGCAAACAAAAGCAACTATATTAAGAGAGAGCAACTATAAATGTTTGAGAAAACAGTTTTGGCAGCACATAAATAGCTATACCACAGTTGAACATACACGCTGTTTCATCAGCTATTGAATCAGATTAAGAATTTAAGAGATTAACCATTAGACTACTATAGCGGGATAGAAAAGAACGTTTCGAATCTCGAACAACTACAATCTGAATCAATTTCAATGTTTCAGAGCATATTAGATTTTCGAGTTTTTGTTAATAAAATCTAAAAATCGAATTCATCATAACACTTTGTAACTATGTTAAGAGGAAATAGTGCGGCGAGAAATAAGACAGAGTTTCTATGATAGTCCGTGTGTATCAAAACATCATGTAGGAAACCTATCTAGAAGCCTTTTAAGCGCGCTTGTAAGTAACATACAATCTACCCTAAACGTTTCTCGAATCACTTAAAAATTTTTTTGTCAAAAAGGATAAATAAAGGTTATGTTTTTAGGCATAATTAAGCTTACCATGTTGTTTTGTCTAGTCGACGTTTTTCTTGATCTTGTTGTAGATAAGGTGCCTCAATAATTAATTGTCCATCAATATAATTTGATATTAAATTTTCAATATCGGTTTGTGGTGGTAAATGTGTCGATTGATAGAATGATGCAGACGATTTTCGTGTATCTGTTTCCATTTTTCGTTCAGCTTTGACAATTAAATCAAGATCTTTAACTGATACTTTAATATCTTCTGCTGAATAATCACTTAAATCTAAATTCATAATTATTTTTTTTTCATCTGTATCTGTGGATGTTGAAACAATTTGAGGTCTAAATGCACTTCGATGAAATAAATCAAAATCAAACGGTTTTGTTGAAGTTGATGATAGTAATGGAGTTGGCTCATATTGACTTGTTGTGAGATTTTTCGATGTTGTTGATGTATCATTTGTACCAATACCACTTGTATTACTGTTTAAAGTTAAATTCAGATCGTTATTTGTGCGATATGTGCTGGACAAAAATCCACCCATTGAATATTGATCACCACTACCACGAGGTATAGATGATAAATAAGATGGACTCATAAATGAGTCCTGTTGTTTAAAATGCGATAGTTCTATTGTTAATTCTTGCATGTTTTTATTGTACGAATATTGATAATTATTGATATCAACATGTTTTGGAATAACAAATATTTTATGTAATTCACGTCTTATATAGCCTCCAAGTTGATCTTCTTCATGATGTTTAGCATCAATAATTAAATGTGCAATTGCTTGACGTTTTGTTAAAATAAATTCATTCGCATTGAATTCATCCGTTTTTAATTTTATAATATATTTATTATTTTGATCGGATATTTTATGATCGAAAGAGCTAGAAGATGGTATAAAATATGACGACATACTATTATTGCTGTTATAATACGATTAAATTAGATCATTATTTCCTAATGATAATAATATTATTCGTCTCGTTTGATATTAAATTAATATCATTTAAAATTTGTTTTTCATTATCATTTTTATCAATATCTTCTTTTTGATTTATTTTTCTACTAATTTGTGCTTTCGTTGATGAGACTACGTTGAAAATATAAAGTGATTGTTTTTTAGATTTTGACTGTTATTTATTTTGTGTTGATGATGGTGGTTATTATTTCAATTGTCGTTGTTATTTGTGGCAGGAAAAGCATTTGAAGGTTCTTGTTGTTGAAATATGAATAGTAGTATCAGAATAAGAAGAAAGAGTGAAACAAGGAGGAGAAAAGAATAATGAAGAAAGAGAGAAATGAGAAGAATGTTGTTATTGTCGTGGTTTGCCGTTTGATTCTTTTTCTTCTGCTTTTTATTGAGGTTTCATTTGAATTCTTCTCTGATAATAGTAATGTTGTTGAAAAACGTAAATTTAAATTGAAATAATATATTTTTTATTGATAATCGTTTGAGAAATATTCGAATAATTTGACATTTTTATTTCGTTATTATTTTATTTGAATTATAAACTATTAATTCATCATTGTTAAAGGTACTAGTTGAGTTTGACATTTAAATATGATAAAATTAAAATAATCATTACTGTCAACCAATTCAAGTAATAATCAGAAAAAAGAAATAACAATGTCATAGTATTACGTAATTTATTCTTTTGTTAGAATTTCGAGAAGTTATTCTGCGATATATCTCGGTATCTCAATCTTATTGTTCTATTTTACTCTTCTCAACAGATGAACAACAGTTTATTAGAAGTATTATAGAAAGAAATATCTTTTCACCGTATCATTCTTAATCATCTAAATTACTCATTTTCATAGTATAGTATTAAGTCAAATGAAAATATGCAATATACAGACGGCACAATATATAATATCTATTATTTCTAATATTCGTTCCAATAGGTCACATTTTTTTCTATTTTGTACAGAGCAAACATCCCATTATTTGACTAAAAAAAGAATTCTTCTTTCATTACATTCTTCTTCTATAATTGATTATTTTCGGTCTAATTCTGCTACACTTACCTATGCGCAAAATAAGTTTGTTCTTTAAAAGTTCATTTGTTTCCCCTACAACTGGCATTAGTAGTTCATATTACGCTTGAGAGTATTTTAGGTTATTTTGTCTTATTATTTCTACTACTAGGTAAAGAGTGAGAGAGAAAAGATAGAAAGGTTAATTATATTGCATTTGATAAGAAGAGAAAAAAATAAACATTCCCTCCAGAAGAGACAAACGAACTCTGTCTGCCTTCAATAGCTACTGTAGTACTTTAATACTATCCACACGATGAAGTAAATCTCTTCAACAGTGCAAAATATTTCTAAAGATACTAAAATCTTTTTAAAATTTCTCTTCAACTTAGGTTTAACATGACCATAATAGTTTATATGATGTTTTCAATGTTTTTTTTCGGTATCATATTATCCTCACTAACATCGAAAATACGAGACACAGATTAAAATCTCAAATAATTATCTCAAAAATAAAATAGTTAAATTAAAGAATGAAAAAAATAGAATCTGTGTTTTTGTTTTGAGAAATTTATTTCTCCTGTACTATATTCAGAGACAAATTGATGATTTTCTCTTCATCATATAATGAGAAGAACAATGTCGGTGTGGTTTTCTTCTTATCTATTTTTAGTTTAATATTTATTTATAATCAGAACAACCACAAAATAAATGTAAAGTCATAATTGTGTTGACTAGTAAAGCATACAGATGAAATAACTAAAGAAGAAAAAACAATATGTTCATGAATAGAATATGAATGAACGAAGAACTATTATGGTCACTTGAGGATAGGGAAAAAAAACGAAGAATTATTACTATTTTAATGATGTTCCCAAAAAAATTCATTCACAACACTCGCTTCATATTTTCTGATTTTCTTTCCATATTTATTATTACATCAGCGAGACTATATATATATATATGTATTCAAATGTTGATTGTTAAATAGAAAAAAATATATATATATTTCAAATGTTTACCAAAAGGAAGCCACATGTATAACTTAGAGAGAGAGAGAGAGAGAGAGTAAAAAATGAAAGATGGTAAAAGTTAAAAGAGAAAAGAATAAAAGTAAATTAAAACCGGATGGATGAATCTATTAGAACTTCAGTAGAGGAAACAGAACGGGAAAAACAACCGAGAGGAACTAATTAAAATATTGTTATCAAGAATAACTTCAAAGATTATAAAAGTGCCATTTACAAAACTTATGATTGTACACCCGTTTACTGAAAGAATAATTTTATGGTTGCTTAAATGTATATACAATGAGTTCCTGCATTTTTTTTTTTCAATAGCCTATATATGTCATTTTAACAAAACAAAAATGTTTAACAAAGCCATGTGTGAACGACTAACAGTTTAATCATAAAACGTTTAATATATTCTTGAATAATTGATTGATTTTTCAAAGACTGATTAAAATTTCAATTAAATATTACTGATAAACTTATATTACTTTTACTGTGGATATTTCACATTTTTACATATAATTGACAATGATTTATATATCTGAAATCTTTGAGTAGAATTGTTAAGTTTGTCTTTTGTGAAAGATCGTATCACAAAGTGAGACATGTATTCTCTCATATGATAAGTGGTTAATAACCATATGTTGGAATGATCGATATATCGTAAGAATTTTATTATTGATCATCGAACTTCACGGCTTAGATGTATTTCGAAAACTGTCTATAAAATCGCACACACTTTATCAGCTTGTAATGGAAACTACATATATAAGAATAGTTGCTGATCTATTCAAACTACAGACAGTTTCCGAAATTCATCTAAGTCGTAAAGTCTGATGATCAGCAAGGAAATTCTCATGACCCAACAACCAAAGACGTTTGAAAGCTTGGACAATTTCTTAAATGTTGTCGTAGCTGTACGTGCCACAAATGGTGAGAAATTTTGATTATAATGCATTAAATAAAATATTAAACATTGTCGAAAAGTTTTTAGATATTGTAACATCAACAATCACCACATAATATATACATGTATATATAGCTCGTTCACATATATCTTTTTCTGTACTCTCTGTCCTTGTTCGTGACTCTCATGCATATGATGAGTCACGGTCACTTCAACGATGTGCCCTTTCTCCACAATTTTTGGATTTTCATTCCCAACAAATATGTTCTAATAATGGTGATTATCAAGGTGATGATTTAATTCACAACGACAATAATTGGCAAACATAGTTAAATAATAAAAGAAAGAATAAATAAAAGACGAGTTTTTAACCAATAACAATAACACTGAACATTTATAACTTAAAGGGAAATTATTCAACTACTCAAAAATGCTGCAAAGTAATTTAAATCAAGCAGTATGGTCCACTTCTCATTAGTTTCACAGGCGAACGCTCTCCAATGAACGCGATTCGACAAAAATTAATTGAGTTAAAAGTTCAACAGAAGTGTGATACTACATGTCGTTTTAATAACAAGAAAGAATTACTTATCTTTCCAGTCGACCAAAACTTTCGTCTGAAAATGACAACATTTCAGCAACTCTCCTGTGTCCTTCTAAGTCCAGTTGGACTAAACTACAGCGTGTCCAAAATACGACGCTCAAAATCTATTATGGTTTACCTACTTGATACCCTATTATCGAACTACACACCCTCACTACATGTGAAATATTAAAAATCTATATCTTAAAACTTGCCTCATCTTTCATCAACTATGCTGTCATATCTAATAAACTTATTATTTTTATTATAAACTTCTATCTCATCACACACGAACGCAAACGCGAAATGTTTCCTTTATTTTCTCAGCTAAATCCGGTTAAAACAATTGTATGTAAAATATTAGGGTTTGTAAATATAGTTGCGAGTTGTCCGCTTTCATCTACAGAAGCAGGGAAGACTGAATTGTATTCTCCGTTTAACGCCAACTCAAATTTAATCAAAATCTTTTTTTCTAAGCAGATTTTATACTTTTTTCTTCATACATTGTAGTGCAAGGGAGTATCAGTCTCGAACATTTTTTTTCACAATAAATCATCATCATCAATAATCCAATTGATCCATTTATAAGCGCCATCAAAAGATAAGAATAAAATTAAGATGAGTAAATTTGGTGGTTAATTTGTAACACTTATTGATAATAGATTAACTGAGAAATCGTACGCTTACATTCAACAATGTGGTCGTTGACGTTGATGCTAGAAATATATATGAGAATCGAAAGAATTAGCTTTACATAAAATTATAATAGTATCACCATGGTATTTTTTATACAAAATATTACAACATAACTCGATATAATGGACCCGAAAGAATTATAGTACATTATCTCGAGGAAAAACATAAACGATTAAATAAATTTTGTATTACAATCGCTTTTTCGTTACAGAAAAGACTTGAACCGGCCCTTACTACGCGCGCAGTCCTCAATACTGACTTTCCATAACTTTCTCCACATAGTTGAGAATATATACGTCAGATATTACTGAAATAATTCGATGATTCGATCTTCAGTAGCTCATCTTCTTACTAGTCGTCATCCTGACGCTTAACTAGAGAAAAGACAAATTCATTGTCACAATTTCTCTGTGAGTTAAGCGAGTTTAGTGTGGTTAAAGACTTTACTATTTTAAACTCGACTTGTTTGAACTAAATAAAATTTTATTTATTTAGTTCAGACAAGTCGAGTTTAAAATAATCATAAACAATTAAGTGTTAAATATCAAAAATAAATTAAAATGGAGATTAATAAAGAATTTAGAGATTTGAAATGTCTTACTTGATTTTCACCTTCGGAAAACTGTCCGCCGATTTTCTGAAAAAGATTGTCTGCTAAAAAAATCTTCCCAACCCCACCAAAAGCAAACGAAGATCTCGATTACAATAGGTCATTAATACAATTGTCTTTAACAGAA